AAGTTGCCCTGCTCTTAATTTCCATTCCCTGATTTTTGAGATTAAGTATAGTGCCATATTTTTTTGGCCAAGCATTATTTCTGTCCTTAAAAATGGCTATTCTTGTTTTTGCTCATATTTAAAAATAAGTTTTAAATAATTAACAGGACTTCTTTATGTACTCAATTCTATTTCTATACATCTATATATTTACCTATGAATCTATCTATCTATCTATTTATCTATCTATCTAACGGCAACTATTCTTCCCTCCCTCCCTTCCTTTCTTTTTTATTTGTTTTTAGAGATAGGGTCTTACTCTTCCTTCCAGATTGGAGTGCAGTAGCACAGTCATAGCTCACTATAACCTTGAACTCTTGGGCTCAAGTGTTACTCCCACCTCAGCCTCCGAAGTAACTGGGACTACAGGCACACACCACCATGCCTAGCTAATTTCTAAAACAAATTTTGTAGAGATTGGGTCTCTAAATTTGCCCAGGCTAGTCTCAAACTCCTTCTTTTAACAAGAATAATAACCTACTTTAGACAAAGCCATATGGTTTTATAAGTTGGTCTAGCTATGAAAATCTTAAGTGGTAAATGTTTCATTCCCTTTACTCTGGTTTTCTAAAAAGCAACACTACTCCCCTGGTCAGAAAAACAATGATTAAGGTAGAGTCAAATAGGAAAAAAATAAACTCAAATGTCAAAAATCCCATACTATTGGCATTACTTGAAGACTATAATATATCAATTTTTATTTCTGAAAAGGGTTTTTCATTATTAAATTTCAGGGGTAAAATAAGTTGAAAATAACTATCCCTTCCATAGTCATTCTCATTATGATCTCAGAATCATACACCCCCTAAACCAACTTCTCCCCTGTTTTGTCTTAGAAAGTCTGAGAAAAAATGAGTTTGAAATATAGGTAGTCCTGAAATTCACCCCATAGTCTTTCAGCTAACTGCTCCCAACCCACAGGGCAGAGGGAGCTCCCCTTCAATCGTTGGTCACTGCCCTCTCAGCAGACCACCGCTGTGCCAGACCCTAGGGAGTATGCAAGAAAGGATGCCATGTCCTAGATCCTGACCTCCAGTGATGACAATTCAGAAAGAGAGAGTAAAATATTTTGAGTAACAGTTTGCAAATGCAGTGAAAGGGTTTCAGGGTTCTATTGCTGGACTGTAATTGAAGACATAAAGGATCAGAGGAAGAAAGGCGTTTCTTCTCCTGGCCCCAGCTCAAGTCAAGACTCTTTGCTCTGCATTTTCCCTTTTCTCCCAACCCCTGTCCCCTCCCCACCCCTGCCCAGGAACAAAAGTTCAGATGCAAGATGGTTTGTGTCATGTTCTCCCATCACTGCACAAAGAGCCACCAGGCCCAAGGTAGTGGTCTCCGGTCAGTCCTGCCATCCGGCAAGGACCCTTCAGTTCCGAGATGGAGTACAGCAGAGAGTCCCTCCCCCCACTGTCAGAGACTTTCACTTTCACACCAGCCCTGGCTCAGCACCCACAGGATGCAGGGGAAACTGGAAGTGCAGCTCACCAAGAAAAAGCCGGGCCCCTTCCTGGGCCACACTGTGAGTCAGTGCCCTGCTATTTCCCCAACTGTCCATCCTGATGTCTTTCCTAAGCTGTGGCCCATCCCTCTGAGGTCATATTTCAGTACGAATCTCCTGAAAATTGAGCTAGAGAGTCAACCATGAGTTCATATTTGGGTTCTCATCCCGAGTGACCTTATAATCCACCTGTTAAATGATCGTTTACTCCAGTGGTTCTCAACTAGGGAGGATATTATACTCCCCCCCTACCTCCAGGGGACATTGGCATGTCTGGAAACATTCCTGGTTGTCGTAACTGGTGGTTGTAGTGACGTATGACCATCTTCTAGTGGGTAGAGGCCAAGTATTCTGCTAAATATCCTGTAATGCACAGGACAGTCTCACAACAAAAATATAACCAACACCAAAATGTCAATGGTGTCCAGGCTGAAAAAACCCAATCTACTCCTTAATATCCAAGCTGGGAAAAAACCACACATTGTTGGCTTTCCTGACATGACTCCAACTCCAAAGGCCTCCCCACTAGAGGTGAGAGTCTTTGATGTATTGTTCACCTAGTTTCTACAGCTGCGCCTGGATACAGGATGCTGGAGAAGGGACGAGAAGTCCTGTGACTGAGTCTGTGACTCTCCCTTCTCAGAGGGCTCAACTTGTGATTTGAGGGCTCAACTAGTTCACGTGACACGCACTACTGTCCAGTCCCTCAGGATGATAAACTTATAGATTGCGTGGGTATTATTTTTTCATATTAAATAACACTAAATAATATTTGCCTGTAGTCAAACATTCATTCAGCCAACAAATATCTGTGGTGTGCCCAGAAAATCCAGGCGTGATGCTCTGGATGCTGACTCTCTGAGGTTACTGGACCTAGACCATAGCACCTACAGTGGGAGCTTCACATCAGGGGGTGGTGGAAGGGGAGGGTGTTTGTTAAAATGCAGAACCCTGGGCCAAGCTCCAGAGATTCTCACTGTGTAAACATGGTGCCCAGGAACATTACTTTTAGCCAGTTTTCAGTGACGCTGATGCAGGCTATCCATGGGACCTTTGTAAAAATCATAAAATCCACCCAAATTAATCCTCAGGCTAAGTATTTGCGATTCAAGATCAAATGTGGCTCACTTCCTACATCCCTAGGGTGGGGGAAATCATTTAACTATTAATTCTCTCAAGTTTTTAAACTGTAAGAGAATAAAACTCTTAAAACTGTTGAAATACAGATGGTAAAAGGGGAGAATGACCTTATGTAAGTAAAAGCAGGACATTTTGAAAGGAATAGAACCATGGAAGTTTTACTTCTAAAAAATGAATTTTTCTGACATAGACTTGAGTATTAGCAAAGTATATTTAGATCAGTGGTAGTTAGTAGAGAAATCTTTTGCTCATGTAAGAAGCATGAACACCACCTTTTTTCTGAACTGACCTCAGGATGCAATGATTCCTAGCCTGGTTAGGGAATGCTAATTCCCCCTTGTTACCAAGCTAAATGACTTCTCTGGTTACCTTGTTTTCTTTCAAATCCTTCCTCAGACCTATACCAGGAACACTCCCTATCTATGAGTACTTATTTTGGTAGCACACAAACCACCCTTAGAGATATAAATCTAGGCCTTGTTCTAAGCAAAACTCCTCCAGGCTGTTAGAAACACCTGAACACTGTTATATCAGGGAAGTTATCTTATTATATGGGGGAAGATTTGTAGATAACATAGGAAATCACTTTCAGCCCAATTCTTCTACCCTGAATTACTGTGATCAATTTAACAATAGAAAAAAATCTACATGAAGGACGTTGTGATAACAATTCTATAACAGACTAAACTTGATGTGTCAGCAGCATCATTAGAAGGAAAGGATATGGATTAAAGGCCAGAGTATCTTAATTAGTATTAAGATAATTAATCAAAAATGTATCTCTCTTCCAACTCTTAAGAATTCTCTCCCACTCCTCTTTTCCTTTAAAATTGTCTTCATTATACCTTCAAATAAATGTCTCTGTGTTTCTATCTTGTCCTCCTTGTCAACTTTTTACTGTAAGTAACCCCACCTTGACCCCTTGGGCTCATTCAACAACACTCACTGAGTTTACTTACAGGTGGAGCACTTTAAAAGACTCCAGTCTTTGTGCTCCTATTAAAAACCATTCAAAACATGGATGAGTTTCCAAATGGGAGGGAGAAAGGAGTCTTCCATGATATATGGCAAAAAACTCACAGTTCTGTGTGTGCTCTGTAGCCGTAGACCATCTGAAGTGCCCCAGATCCCACATACCATGGAACTCCATTTCAGGGCTATCTCCAAAGGGCGAAGAACCCCCTCCCCCCACAAGCATTTTAGAATTTTGAGCCAACGTATCAAAGAATGCAAATTTCCCCCAAACCCAGATTTGCTGGGAGATCCATTTTTAAGTAGACTATGCTCCCTGCAGACCAACATGCAAATGGTGGGGGCTGAGGTACAATTAAGAACCACAGAGGCAACGAAGAAACGCTGACCATACCTATTTTCCCAGCCTCCACTTTCAGGTTGAAGTCCCAGTTCCGTGGCAATTTCAGGGACATTTTGCCTCTGGTTTGGGTGAGTAGCTGGTGACGAAGCGAGTCTGCCAAAGTTTGCACCCTTCTTGTGTTTCCGCGCTGTCCCTCCAGCTTGTGTCTGTTGTCGTTCCCCCTCGCGACTGCCTCGCAAGCAATCTTAGGTGTGCGGCTGAGCTGCCACCGCGCCTTCTCCTTTCTCTCCGATGAAAGGTCCATCCATCTGTCCCTTGGGGATGGCACCCAAACTTCCCCAGCCTCACCGGCCCCTTGGGAGCTGGCACCAGGCTTTTCTTGCTTTCGGTTTTACCAGAAATATCCCAGTTGATACTTCCCTCTGAGTCATGGGAAGCAAAGCTCCCGTTTGAAAGAATCTCAGGCCTCACTGAGGCGAGATTGTGATAAACAACTGCAGCCTCTCGGCTTTTTTTTTTTCCTCTTTAACTGTCTGCTTCCTTGCATTTGAGGAAGTGGGTGGCTGTTGAGTGAAGATGATGCATTATGAGTACTTTCTTGAGAAAAGGATTTTTGGAAATGCTTATAAAACTAGAATGAGTACTTTTGTTATGAAAGGCTGTAACTAATTAAAAAAAAAAAAAAAAGAAAGAAAGACAATTCTAAGACTCCCACCATGGACATCAACTCTAAGCTCTCCTCCTCGTCACCTAACAGATCAAGCGTGCACAGATGCAGATGTTGGAGGAACCACCATCATTGCCCCAAGTTGCCTTCCTTGAAATTCTTTCTGCTGGAAGGACCACACAGCAAGTTCTCTACTTGCTCAGGATAAAGGCTGCACATGAACGCAGCCTGATGCAGGCAGGGTTTTGATGTCTTGAGCTCATAAATCAGCTTTAGCTGGGCAGACCCACCCACGTGTCATAAATGTTCTTTGGCATTGTGTACTGGGTGTGAGCTTTAGAGTCAGACCAACACAGCTTCAAAACGCAGTTCTTCCATTTCCTGGCTTTGCAACTTCTAGTAAGCAACTGATTCTTCCCAGACGTCTATGTCCTCATCAGTAAAATAGGGTTGATAATAACCATGACTCACATAGTCTTTGAGAAGGAATCTAGCACAGAGCTTGACACAGTGGCTTCACCACAGCATTAATTCTACCCGTATTCTACTTCAGTTCCATGACAGCCTTTCATATGTTTAACTGGGTCAATCTAACCTAGTGATTAAGCATTTGTGCCCTGAAGCCAGATTGCCTACATTCAAATCCTGGCTCTACCATTTTATTGTGTGACTTTGGACAAGTTTCTTATCTACTTTATGCTTTAATTTCCTCCTATGTGAAGGGAGCAAATACTAAGGCCACTTCATATGGTGGTTGTGAGGCTTTCATAGATAGCAAACACAAAGTGCTCTGAACAGTCACTGCTAACCAGCATGCAAGCTGCACACCCTTGGTCGTTGGTTCATTCTTCAGCTCCCCTGAATGACTCTGTCACACTTTCTTCTTCACTTCCCACCTGCTCACTCTCAGTAGATGACTTGGCTTCCTGTTTCATTGAGAAAACTGATGCAACCGGAAGAGAGTGTCCCCAAGCTCCCCCTACTCAATTTGCCCACTCACTTGCCTATAAGCTCAAACCTTCCACCTTCTCCCTAGCACAGTGGATGAACCACTGTCATCCATCCCCACCCCATCTCTGCTGTATCCTCATTTTCTTCTCTGTTTTGGATCTTTCTCAACTGCATTCAAACTTAACATACACATATTTTATTCCACACTTGAAAAAGTTTGTCTTAATATCACTTCCCCCTTGGACTATAACCCCATTTCTTTCCTTCAAGTCTGAGCAAGCTTTGGTAAGAATTGTCTTCACTTGCAATTGTCTCTCATCTTATTCCCTCTCAATTCCCCTCTGTTGATGTTTTTGCCCCATGACTACACAGAATATATTCACATCAAGGATACCAACAACTTTCCTGTTGCTAAATCCATAGGTCAGTTCTCCACCATCATCTCACTGACCCATCAGCAGTGTTGGACACCTTTGATGGCTTTCTCCATGTGGCTCCCAGGGCTATTACTGGCCTGGTTGTCTGCCTGCCTTCCTGGCTCCTATGTTTTCTTGCTGATTCCTTCTTGTCTGTCTGATCGCTAAATATTGGCAGAAACCAAGACTCAAACACTGGACATCTTTTCCATCTGTGATACTTTGGTGAGCTCATCTATCTTAAGGCTTTAAATGTCCTGTATCTATAGATGATGCCAATGTATTTTTTCCAGTGCAGACCACCCCCTCAACTCCAAATCATACACATCTCTGTTCAGATCTATAATAGCCATCTCAAACTAAATGTGTCTCAAACTCTTCAGGGGACCAGGCTGAAGGATCAGTGGCCACCTGGGGCATATTCATCTTACGGGAATGAAAAGAACCTAAGAGGGAAGAACCATAGGAATGTAGTTAAAGACTCTACTCACATTCGATTGGCAAGTTCAGGCCACGTGACCACACCCAAAGTCAGCAAGGCAGTCAGCATAACCACCCCAAGGGGAATGGGGAAGGAAGAAAAACTGGAGTGCCGCTGATTGAGGCTCCAGTCCATCACACCAGCCCCATCTACCAGCTAGTCTCTATCCTCCCAGGGGTGCTCAATGCCTCTGAACTTGACTAAGCCAGTTGGAGACTTTGGAGCCCATTCTGCACCATTGCTCTCTTTTCTATCCTGACTACAGGGTTAGCCAGCCCCAGCCTCAGCCCACCAGGGAACTTGACACCATCCAAAGTTTCAATCCTGGGACCTTTAACTCAAAAACCCTGGAAATATTTTGAAGTTGGCATTTAGAAACACACAGGGAACTTCCTATGCTCTTTAGGGTAGGTTCCTGTGAGTCTTGGAAAATCTCATGACCCATGGGGGAAGTTGGCTGTGCACAGGCGGAAAAGCCCCACCCAGAAGCCCTCCCTCCATAGCATGGGGCTCTCCTTCCACAGCACAGAGCCCTCTCTGGATCAGTTAGCTGCCTGAGGTGGGTAGAAGGCTGTCTTCTGTGATACTGCCACTCCCTGGCCTTCAGAAGATGAAAAATGAGATGTCATGTCTGATCCCAAAGTTTGAATTAGCAGCTGAAAAAGCAAACATTTATTCACCTATTTGCTTATCAAATGCTAATCATTTATTAAAGACTAAAATTTTGCTGGATTCTGGAGGAATGCTCATGAACAAGCAGATGTGGTATTTGCTCCCCATCCTGCTCCACCACTGTCCTATGCAACTTATAGTCTTTTGAGGGAGAAGAACAATGAAATGACAATTAAATATAGTGTGAAAAGAGCTATGTTGAGCAAGCGTAAGGAGTTATGGGGGAGCTTACAAGAGGGGCCTAATTGAGACTTGGGGAGTGAGGAAAGTCTTCCAGGAAGAAGTGGCTTTTAGTTTTTGCATGTTCAATTTTTTTTTCCTTATTTATTTTTGTTTTTTTTTTAATTTCAAATTAATATGAGGGTACAAATTTTTAGGTTACACTGTTCTCAATTCCAAGGTAAAGTTCAAGATATAGAAGAGCCCTTTGTCCAGGGGACATGCTGGACACCCTCACATTGTGCACATTTGGGTGAGATCCTGCCAATTGCCCTCCCCCTTCTCTCTCCCCTCTCCTTCCTCTCTCCTCTTCCTTGAGGACTATATTTGTGTTGTATCATTAGTATGGGCATGTAATTGTTTATATATTGTTTCATATTAGTATTGAGTACATTGGATTTTTTTTCTATTCTTGAGATATTTTACTAAGAAAAATGTGTTTCAACTCCATCCAAGTAAACATGAAAGATGTAAAGTCTCTATCTTTTCTTATGGCCAAATAGTAAGTATTCCATGATGTACATATTCCACAATTTATTAATCCATTCATGGTCTGATGGGCACATGGGCTGCTTCCACAACTTGGCAATTATGAATTGTGCTGCAGTAAACACTGTAGTGCAAATGTCTTTGTGGTAAAATGATTTTTGTTCTTCTGGGTAGATACCTAGTAATGAGATTGCAAGGATTAAATGGAAGGTCAACTTTTAGTTCTTTGAGAATTTTCCATACTTCTTTCCCTAAAGGTTGTATTAGTTTGCAGTCTCACCAGCAGTGTAGAAGCATTCCCTTCTCTCCACATCCATGCCAGCATTTGCAGCTTTGGAACTTTGTGATGTGGGCTAATCTTACTGAAATTAGGTGATACATCTCAGAATGGTTTTGGTTTCCATTTCTCTGATGTTTAAAGATGATGAGCATTTATTCATGTGTTTGTCATGTGTCTGTCATCTTCAGAGAAGTTTCTTTCCAAGTCTCCTGCCCACTTAGAAATGGGGTTGTCTGCTCTTTTCTTGTTCATTAATTTGAGTTCTATGTAGATTATAGTTATCAGGCCTTTGTCAGATTCATAACATGCAAAAAACGTCTCTCATTCTGAAGACCATCTGTTTATTTTGGTTTTAGTACCCTTAACTGTGAAGAAGCTTTTTAGCTTGATTAAATACCAGTTATTTATTTTTAGTGTTGCTGCAATTGCCAGGGGGACTCTTCCTCAGGCTAATATTTTCAAGTGTTTTCCCTATACTCTCTTCTAGAATTTTTATTGTTTCATGTCTTAAATTTAAATCTTTTAAATTAAGGATGAGTCGGGGAGGCCAGAGGGCTGGAAGAAAGGGTCCAGACAAAGCAAACAGCATACAAGAGGCAGGGAGGCAATCAAGAATTCTTCAGGTGGCTCCCAAGATGGATGAAAGGGGTAAGGTTGGGAAGAGGTGAAGCTGGAGAGACAGGCAGGGCCTGGATGGGTCATACAGGGCTCAGTGAGCATTGGTGAAGAGTTCTAACTTTACCCTGGGGGAAGCAGAGGTCGTTAAGGACCTTTTAGCAAGATAGGGTTGAGGAGGCAGATACTGAAGTGAGAGGAAGAGTAAGGGAGAGACATCATCATCAGTGGGAATGGAAAGAAACACAAGAATGACATACATGGTAGAACTGATAGCCCAAAGGGAATGGTAATGGGAGAAAAAGGTGACACCCAGGATCCTAGCTATAGTCACCAGAGGGGTACAGTTTCCAATCACAGAGATGAGGTGTGCACAAGAAGATCAAGGATGGATATTGAGGAAGGGGCAGTTAAGGTTCCCCAAGGGGGAGTTGGGGGGTGCAACATGGGGCACTAGTGTGCAGATCTTCTCCAAGTATATGAGCCCAGAGCTCAGATAGACTCATTCAGTCATTTTGTGCATTTACTCTATAAACATTTGTGCAGGACTTTGCTGCACGCTAAGTAAACAAGAATGAGTAAGAACCTGGCCTAATCCTCTGATGACTCATTAGAGAGAAGTGTAAACAGAATGGCAGTGCCGTACAAAGTACAGAAATAGTGCATGCACAAGGGAGGTGG